TATATATATATATATAAATATATATAAACATTTTTATTTCAGGCATTACAAGAAACGCAGAAGGCTGCGATTAGATTTGAGAGAGCCAACAGTCAACATTCGGCAGCTAAAGAAATGGTTTACTTAGCCGAGGAAGGACTACGGACCGAAGGAAGATGTTTTGATCACGCTTGGCAAGTAAGACTCTTCAAGGTCAAGTCTTGAGAAAAATTATATGCAAGGTATTACGCAAGTAATGAAATATATTATAGGAAATGTTGAATCATGCTACGTCGCGAGTTAATGAGTCGGAGCATGAGAGAGCTCTCTCTGAAGCTGAACACAGGCATACAACTGTGTTATATCACAAAGCGGAACACGAAGTTCAAAGGTTGCAGCGTGAATTGAAGCGTACTATTGCTAAATCTAGGTACGTAAGGAACCTGCCGCCCTCTTCTCATTAATGGAGCTCGAGTATACCTACCTTCCCAATGGTTTTTTTATAATGCATGAAATTATCGCATATAGTTATTTTTTTTATATGAACCACTTTTTGAAGAGCTAAAAACCTTGTATACAACCAAGTTAATCGGAACACGATAAATGTTTTATATACAAAACCTCTTATTGTTTCTTCCTATTGCTATTGACATATTTTATCTCTATTTAAATAATCATCGAATTACTTTCGAATGATTATTACGTTTATGTTGTTTTCTATAGACCACTTATGGTATTTATGTGTTTTGGTTATATGTTCATGTTGGCAGTATGGGTGCACGCCGCAGCTTGCTTCTGATAAACAGTATCGCCTACAGGCACAACTTGCTCATGTTGTAAGTAGGATAGATATTCTTTTTTATTTTTTTAAATACACGACATTTATTTTGAGTGTGTTTCGAACTCCATTTATTTATTTTAATCATCATCCTGATTGTGCATGAATTATTATAATTATATTTTTGAGAATATTTCGAATGTACAATTTGCTAGGTTTTTTTATTGATCCTTTTGGTAGATGTACTGCACACAAAATTTATCAAATTGCTTCTTCCTAATCAAATTGCCATGCAACAAATTGTTATGCATAAATATATTATATTACATTCAAATGCTGATTGTAAAAACATATCATTTTTACATAGTTCTAACTTAATGAAATATTACATAATCACATAGGCCTTACTATGAGATGAAAGCGCACTTTAATCAAATGTTGGAGGAACAAAAGATGAAAGTCAGTGCACTGGAGAGATCAGTTGGTGAAGCAAAAGCTTCGTACGCGGAAGCATTACGAAATTTAGAAAAGATCAGCGACGAAATTCACAGGGTATAAATATAGACTTGTGTGAATATAATGTGATTCAAACTGTGTAAAATTTTCATTATACTTTTGCTAATAGACAAGAAGATACGATGGTATAGACGAATATGATAAGAGTATACAAGATGCGCCCGATCGCTCCGCTGCGCAAATTAATACGGCGACTCCAACAGATTCCAGTGTAACTGGATCTCCAGACAGCACGGATTACACTAGTGACGAATACTTACGCCTTCCCGATAAGATGAGTCCGAACGTGCCATGTCCCATGCCTACAAGAGTAAGTATACATTTCTGGCAAATCGTACTTCTTAATTTCATTAATCGATAAATAATTCTTTTTTTTCAGATCGAGAGAGATTCATCGTCGGAGTACCTGGGCCTAAATAATCTGAATCTTTCATCCACAGAACCTCGTAAATACATAAAACGAGACCGTCCACGAAGCATTGCTGCGACCGACTCGAAACATATCGTATCTCTAAATCATACAAGTTCTTCTGCACCAGGCCTGACGGATTTGTCGGGCATTATATCTCCGGTTGAAAAGAGAGTTAAAATTCAAACGCCCGTAAACGATCGCAAGAATAATTCTACTAATTCTCAAAACGGAGAGGAGTGGACGGAAATTAGCCTGAACAATTCGCCGGATGAAGTTTATTACAATAATGACGTGTATTCCGATGAGGAAGATCAAATTCCCTACAAACCGCTACCGATGGATCTAAGTCCAGAACTTGCTCAGACAATTAATGCTACCAGCGAACCGCCGAAAGAACAAACTAGCCGAAGGAGATTAGTAACGCAAAAATCTTTACCCACAATGTCGAAAGTAAATGAAGTTACCTTAAGCGAAGAGAAGAAAGCCGAAGTTACGAGAAGTCCGTCAGTAAAAAATAGAAGCAAACTCGATGGTAGCTTAGCTAATTGGATAACTAGAAGTTCAGCCGGTGGTGAAACTAGTGGTGGTAGTTCCAGTAAGTGGATGAATGTGTGGATCTTTGACAAATTTCATATATTGTGAGATGTAGATTTATATGTTAACATTGTTATTTCAGCGAATTCAAGTAGAAGACAATCTCTCGATATGTTGTGGAGTGGCGGTACCGGGGAGCGTGTTAAAGAATTACTCAATCACGGCATGATGATGCTAAACATATCTAGCTTAACGGAACGACGTTCCAGCGAACCAAAGACAGCGGAGAGAGACAAGGATAAGTCTGACAAGTCTGAAAAGTCGGAAGTTAAAGGAAAGAAAGTCCCAAGTCCGTTAGAAAAAACAATGAGCTATCTCAATGCTGATGAGGAGACGTCGGACAGCGAAAGTTTAGCTAGGTAAGTTTATACTGCTATATTCTCATCAATCAACAATATCTTAATTTTTCTTTTTCTTATCAAATTTGCAATTAGCGTGGAGATGCTAACAGAGGATCAAATCTCTTCACTCATGATGGAGCCGGACATGAATCAAGTATGCCAAGAGATTCTGGGAACTCCCTTAGTCGAAGTATGTCCGTTGTTGCAACAATTACAGCAACAATAGCCTTATCGCAGAGGAATTTGCACGACAAAGTGGCAAAGATTCAACAATAGAAAGTGTTCAAGATTATAAATCGGTAACATAATTAAGATACATCTCATTTTTGTTACGCTACTGCATTATCATATTATGTTTCTGTCTTGTGTGTGTCGCAGATTTTTCTATTGTATGTGATATAGGACAAAGCAGGGCAAAGTAAAGGTTGTATTTCCAAGTAATCGTCAGATTCTACATTATTTATGGGTTTTACTAGGTATTATCAAGTTATTATTAGTTAGAAAAGTAATATTTATATGCTTAGAAATATTTATATGCTTAGAAAATATAATCGGTTAAAGCTTTTAGTCAATTCAAAACTTGCGTTAAAAATGTCTCATTAGCTTCTCGGGCACTACAAAGCCTAACGTCATTTTTTGTGGATACGCTTATATAATATCTCAGCTTGTGAAGAGAGTGTTTTCGAACTTATTCTATAAAATCTTTAACATTTAAGATTTGGTAAAACTATGAAACATCAGTCGCTGAGAAAGCAATATGTAGTTACTTTTCTAGGATACTGTGTAGTTTAATCTAGATACTCATACACAAATTTATTCCAAGTCGCATCGACTATTTTTTGCTTGCCTTTATATGCGACTATTATCACGTTAAAATCTCTCGGAGCGTTTAACAAATATATTAGAATATTGTGCTATCATAGCGAAATATCAAACAATTTAGACAAATTAGAAACAAAACAAGAGTTACATTCACCACGCTACGTTCAAAGATAACTCAAGAAGATAACTTTAATAAGATCCATTTCTAGTAATGTAAATTAACTTTTGATTTAATTTATTTCTTTATCTTTTTCTAATTTTTTTAACTAGAAAAGATAAAAAGTAAGTTAACCCGAGATTAAAGTTAATTTTTGTTGGTAGAAATGGACGCAGGATAAGCACTTCCTTGTCTATCTCTATCTCTTTTTCGTCAAAATATGATCGGTCAGTCCACTAAGTTATTCGCGAAGCATACCACCGAAAGAAAAAAAACATATATAGAAAGTTACAAGATGCCAATTATGACTGCGATGGTCAGATTATCTTTAATGCGGAACATACTGTATATATAAGCGTAGCATAATAATAACAATTCTAAACGTACATAAGTCTGTGTGCAAAACATACTATTGGCATCGTAAATACCTGAAGAGAACTCGTTTTGAATTTCATTAATATAATTCGTTACGCGAAGCTGTACATTCGATCAATGACAGCACATTTTGAGCACAGATCAGGATTTTCACGGCTTTTTGGCAATCATGCTGTTTCATATACGAAGCTTCGCGATAGTAAGACAGTATTCATTCTAATCAGATTGAACAAGATATTTTTCAATATTTTTCGTTCTAACGCGAGGCATGCCTGTCAATAAAATATTTTATGGCTGTCCCGAGATTGCTATGCGAAAAGCGAATGTTATACAAGTTATTAACGAGTTATGAACAAAATAGTCTGGATACTCGATGATAGTAATAATAATAGATCGAAGGCTTACGCGAACGAATTCAGACACTCGGGATGAGTGAAATTTAAATGTAGCTCCATCATTTTTATTGCTGCGTATTGTGATATAGCTCTTAGCAATTTTAGACATTCAGTTTTGGATTTTCCAATTGTCAAACGAAAAACATTAGTGCAAAGGATGCATGCAAT